ATTAATCTGAAAACAAAAAGAATTATTGGAATTACCAGAATTCGGGTGAAATTTTTTTGCAATTACTAGATTTCGGTAGAATTTTTTTGGAATTGGAATTAGTTGTAGACATTTTTTCAAAAATCATTACCGTGACTTTAATTTTGGCCCCAATAAAGTTCAGTTCCTGCCTCAAGGTCTCCGTCAGCGCCGTGACGGCATGTTTCGASGCCGGATAAATATTCATGCCTGGAAAATTCGGCACTCTATGCCCACAGAGACTATTAATATGCACGATATGCCCTTTGACATCATGCCTCTTCATGCTTCTAATCGCCTCCCGTGTGGCAACACACAAACCCAAAACATTCACCTCAAGGACACTCCTCCAAGCCTCGGCATCCCCCTCAATTAGGGTGGTTTCCTTAGCGACTCCCGCATTGTTAATTAAAATATGCACAGGCCCCAAATTCTCCTCAATCCATTTGAAAGCCTTGACGATGTCATCTTCTTTCGAAACGTCGCCTTTGTACGCGTGGAGTTTACCTTTCCGGTCGGCGAGTTCTTGCGCGAGCTGTTGGATGAGTTCAAGTCTTCGAGCGATGCCAACGACCTGAAGGAGGAATTTCAAGAATTTGTGGTATTTTTTTAATTTTTGTTACAATGAGGCCGTTGGAGACGAGTTGTTTGGCAATTGCGGCACCTATTCCAGTACTTGCACCTGTCACTACCGCCACTTTGCCCACCCATCGGTCCATGGAAACGACCATTTTGAGGAGAGGTTGGTATTGGACTGGAGAGATGCGACCTGAGGTGCAGATTACGGTGTTTTGTACCATTGGAGAGGAAATTAGCGGTGCTAGTGAGGCGGAAAGTGAAGGTTGAGGCCTCTAAATTTTCTATTGTGTTTTGAAAATGACCTCAAAATAAAAATGTTTTTATTCCACTTTTAATTGTTTTTTTATTCTTCTTGTTCTTTCTAAATTTTGGGCTGCAAAAATCAGTTGGGGAGACTAAGAATGTGTCCAGAAATAACAATCTAAATCTTTAACTTACAATAAAATTTATTGGCTAAACAAACTCCAGACTTTTAACAAAACTTCAAAAAAATCTTAGAGAAAATTTTCATAAACAGAAATGTTAATGAAAACTTTTCAAATTTTGGGCTGCTGGAGACAGTTGGGGAAGCTAAAAAAAGTCTCCATTTTAAAAAATTTCTTAACTTATCGGCTAAAAAATTTCTAGGCTTGTAATAACACTTCAAAAAAAATAAATGGAAACGTTTTCAAATTTTGAGCTGCAAAAGACAGTTTAGGAGACTAAGAAGGTGTTTGAAATACTGACTTAAAAAAATTAAACTGCAATAAAATTTATAGGATAAAAAACTTCAGGCTTGTAACAAAACTTTAAAAAAAATTTTGAAAATAAAGAATTGTTAATCGAAACTTTTCAAAATTTTAAGCTAAAGAAAGACAGTTAAAAAGACTAAGAAAATAAAGAAATACTAACCTAAAAAATATCTTATTTTTTT